TGGGGCAGAGCTCTCCTTCCGCAGCTCTGGGGGTCCCTCAATCCTTAAGATGCAGCCCTGCGGCAAGAGCCGGCTGACGGGACCTCTCTCCCTCTCTGGGCGACCCTGGACTTAAAAGCTCCCCTTGCAGGTGGCTCAGGGTGGCGGCTTCGTGCGCAGGAGCCGGGCAATAAAAGGGGGCTGAATATTTGGATGGGAAGCTTTCGCAGCGCAGCATTTCTGTCGCTAAGCCAGCCGGAGGTTAAGTCAGTTTGGCCCGAATTTTACTGTTAAGTCAATCTGCACGGTCGTTCAGTGAATCACATGGTCCTTAAGCAAATCCGACTTCGCTTGTTGGAAGCCGGCTGGGAAGGTCGCAAAGGGTGACAGTGGGGAGGCTGCAGCGGTCGTAAGGGCGAAAAGTCATGAAATCCCTGGGCTGTTGTAGCTTCAAACCATTGCTAAATGAATGGCTGTAAGTCGAGGACCGCCGGCACAGAGAGGCCTTCCATTGGGCAGAGGGTGGAGCCCCCCTGCGCCCCCCCCCCCGCTTTCCTTGGCCGAAGGGCTTGGCTGCACCTTCCCTCCTCCTCCTCCTCCTCCTCCTCCTCCTCCTCCTCCTCCTCCGCATTGCTGGGGGGTGTTTGGGAGCTGCTAATTGCTCTCTGCTGGCTCTGCAGCTTCTCCCAAGCCCCCCCCACCCCCATCCCAGGGAGCCCGGAGAGCAAAAACGGGGAGGGGGGCACTGCAGGAGGCATCCATCCTTGGAGAAAAGGGGGGGTCCTTGCCCTTCTCGGGGGTCTCCAGCAGCTTCTTCAGGGCTGAAGGGGAGGCGGAGAGCAGGGTGAACCCAAAGGGGTTTGCTGTATCCCTTTTGGAGTGGGGGGGTGCAATTCAGAGGGAGGGAATTCCCCCCCTTCTGCTTCCCCCCTTTTTTCTAACCACTAGTGGCTAGCTGGGGGGGGGGGGCTTCTTTGCAAGCTTGCAGTTGTCACACTTGCTACACAAAATGAGATGGTGACCCTAGAAAGCCCCCCAGCCCCTCCCTCCAGATTCTGGCAAACCCCTCGGGAGGAGGGGGCAAAGGGAGGGTCCTGCCTCAGTTACCCCCCCCTCTCCCTGCAGCTGGTGGCCCCCTTGGGCAGGTCTGCCTCGAGGTTCTGAAGCCCCACCACCACCAGCAGCTGCCTCATCTGAAGACACACACACACACACACACACACACGCCTTCTCTCAGCCTGGTTGGCTTCTGCACCCACCAGCAAAGGCTGTGTGGTTGTGTGATTGTGTGTCTGCCTGTGTGTACAGTTGATTAACATCCTTTGTAAAGAGACAGGGTGGAGCATTGTGGAGGTTTCTGCCCTGCCCTCAGCTCAATGCTGGTAGCCCTCCACTTAACAACCATTCATTTAGTGTCCATTCTCTCTCTCTCTCTTGTCATTCAGCCCAAAGCTCCTCACGGGGTTGTTGTGGTGGAGAAAATAGGAGGAGGAAGGTGTGTGTTGGATGTATCTGCTACCTCGAGTTATTTGCAAACCTAATCAAAGTGAGATGCCATCAAACACGAGATAAATGAACGACCAAATAAGAATCGTGAGCCCATCTCCAGCCGGATGCCTTTCAAATACGAGAGGCAGGGGAAATCCAACGCACAGCCCTGTGAGGCAGGCCGGGAGGAGAGCAGGCAGGCCCACAACAGCAAGAGAATAAAAAAAGAAGGTGCCACCCAGTTCCTCCTTCCAGGGTGGGACTCTTATGCCTTACAATCACCTTGCAATCCGCTTCAAGTTGGGCGCCCCATGATCCAGCCCCCCCACCCCACCCCCAGGAGAGCCATTTTGGGGAGGGCCAATGGTTGCTTCCTCAAGACCAATTGCAGAGTGGGATGGTCCCCACTTGACCTTTGGCCTTCAAATGAGCTAATTGGCATGCTAATGAGGTCCCATAATGAGCTGGCGGTGTCGGCAATTTGCTTATTGTTATTCTGATGAGCCAGCAGAAAGAGTCCCTTGTTAGAGCAATTAGCTCCTTATGGCACAAAGCCTCATTATTATGCTAATGACACCATGCAGTAATTAACTTATACTAGCAAGTTTGTTATTATAATTATTACGCCGATTATTATTATTATCATTACTGTTGCTTTAGTATGCCACTTTTGGACCCTCGCTGCTGGCAAGTCGGTTCATCAGGGGGCAGGGATGGGGTGAAAGAAGGCCTGGAATCTGCTCCTGGCCAGGGTCTCCGAGCATGTGCAGAGTGCCTTCCTTGCTGAGCCCTGAGTCTCAACCCAGGGAATGACTTCGAGTTGAGCTCCACGGTCTCAAAGGGGCCAAGCTGGAGAAAGTCTGCCTCCTGGAGGCCTCTGGAGATTCTCAACCGGAATCCAGTCATGGCGGTTGTGCCAAAGGCGCTTTCCCCAAAAGGCAACTCAGCGGTGACATGACAGCCGTCTTCCAGTGTTTGGGGGTCGAGCAGGGCTCTCCCACCTTGGCCACTTCAACTCCCAGAATTCCCCAGCCAGCTTTGAAGTCCTCCAGGCTTCTAGTGGCCACAGTGGGAGGGCCCTGAGATAAAAAGCAACGGATGGAAACTAATCCAGGAGCGAAGCAACCTGGAACGAAGGAAGAATGTCTTTCATTGTGAAAACACTGATCAATGGAATGGCTTCCCTGCAGAGGCTGTGGGTGCTCCAAGACTGGAGGTTTTTAAGAAGAGCTTGGAGAACAATCTGCCTGGAATGGTCGCGGGTCTCCTGCCTGAGCTGGGGTTGGACTAGAAGGCCTCTAAGGCGCCTTCCAGCTCTGCTGTTCCGTCATTCTTTCTGGGTGTTTCTTTCTTTGCAAACGTTTCGCTTCTCGTCCAAGAAGGGTCTCCTGAAGCAGCAGCGACAGAAACTTCTGCAAAAGCTCCTAGGGCAAGCAGCGAAACATCT